TAAATAGGCTAGTAAGTATTTTCCATGCAATGATAATACTAAAAGAATATATTAATTTCTAACATAAACTAAATTATATTAAATTACATTAAGGCACAAATTATGTGGATTCCTATTTTTTAAAAACATTTAATAACAATAATTTTAGTCATTTTAAGAACAAAAAAATGTAAATTATTTGTAAAATAATTACCTGTGTTTTTTATTTTCAAAAAGAACTCTTAAACATATTTTACATTCATTTGAATCATCTTATTACAAGAAAAAAATTTTACTGGTTTTATGAGTACAAAAAGAATTATAAAATATATAAATGTAGAAACATTCTCTTTATGATACACAATGATTTTTTATATTATATGAGTCATTATTTTTAACAAATTTGTTTCAGTATGCAGAACTGACTGGTTCTTACTTTCAAAAGAAAGTAAATGATTTGATTTGTTTTATTTTATGTTCACAGGATATTTCTTTATATTTGTAAGGTGTTCAGATTTAAAAAACTCAAGAATAGCTTAACAAAAATACTTTATTGGTCAAACTCTTTCCTTTTCCTTTTCCAAGTCTGATTCTGTAAATTTTTATTTTTAAAATTTTTACATAACACCAATTTTTTGTATTTCTATTCTAGTCCTGCCGTTTTTAAAATATTATTCATTCAATTGTTCGCTAACTCCGTTTTCCTTATCGGAGCGTTGCATTGTTCTATTAAAACGTTCTAACTTCGATAAATTGAAACATATCGCTTCGAGGAAAACACGATTTTCTCATATGTTTGCATACATTCTTTTTTTTTAGTTGTGTACAGATACATGCTACATAAATAATGGGTTTTTAAATGTAAATTACAGAGATATAAATGGGGTGCAGTCATTTCAATCTTAGTATAAACAACATCGTATACTAATATTATTATCTCATTAAATTATGTAACAGTTTGTATATATTACGAATGTGTATTTGCAGAGATTAGTAGTATGCCTAGAAGAGTCATTATATATTCATAATATAAGGGATATGAAAGTATTGCATACAATACGAGATACTCCCCGAAATCTAGCAGGTCTATGTACACTATCAATAAATAGTGATAATTCTTATTTAGCCTATCCTGGCTCAAACACAATTGGAGAAGTTCAAATATTCGACACAATTAATCTTGTAAGTATTAATGAATATTTTTATTATATCCCACATATTTAAACGTAAATTTTTTTTCTTCCAGCAAGCTAAAAATATGATACCTGCTCATGACAGTCCATTAGCAGCACTTGCATTTTGCCCTAGTGGTAACAAAGTAGCTACTGCGTCCGAGAGGGGGACGGTCATAAGAGTGTTTCAAGTAAGTATAATTATTCATATGGTACTAATTGTTTGTTCAGTTCTTAAATTTAGTTGCATTGCTGAAGGTTCTTTATATCTCTGAAGGTTCATGACGGTACAAAACTATTTGAGTTTCGTCGTGGAGTTAAAAGATGCGTCTCTATAAGCAGTCTTGCTTTTAGTATGGATTCTATGTTTCTTTGTTGCTCAAGTAATACAGAAACAGTGCATATTTTCAAGTTGGAAGAACCAAAGGAAACGTATGTAAATTGTTTCTCCTAAGTTTAATAGAACTATTACTGTATTTAAATCATGTATCTTTATTACAGTTTGAGACAAACGACAGAAGAGTCACAAACTTGGATGGGATATTTATCAAAGGCTGTATCAGCATCAGCTAATTATTTACCTTCACAGGTTACAGATGTTTTTAACCAAGGACGTGCCTTTGCAAGTGTCCATTTGCCATTTCAAGGGTTGAAGAATGTATGTGCCATCACGGAGTAAGTACAATTTAATTCAGCATATAAATTTAATGTGCCTGTATATATATATATATATATATATATATATATATATATATATATATATATATATTATAATACAAATATTTATATTATCATACAGAGTACACGAAGTACTTAGGTTGTTGGTGGCTAGTGAAGATGGATACTTGTATGTCTATAATTTGGATGCGGCGGAAGGTGGAGATTGTACGCTTCTAAAACAGCATAGGTTTGTAAAATACAGATCTAAAAAATATACAAAGAAAAAATAATAAACACTCTCAGGTGATTTGAAAATTACTTTTTCATTTTGATTCACACTTTGATGCTATATGTGAAGTCGTTTCTATTGGAAACTCAATAATACCGGTAACTATCGAAAACTGAAATGAAATACCGGTATTTTTTGGTTTCACAGTCTCTTTTTGTATCCTACGATTACAATGTCGTTCGTACGACTCGTGGCGCCTCAAGAGATTGCGGGGCCCAGAGCAGTTAGGTCCTGTATAACCATTTGCTTGCAACATAGGGGTGGACACTTTCCCCTGATTAGTCTACAGTGGGAGGTTTATAGAGGATTTTGGGGAAATGGCCACACTGGTCGTGATCTTACGGAAAATATAAGCACCTAGTATTCAAAAGATCAGTAAATTTCTCAAAGTGCTACTTGAATTATGTTGTCTATACCAGGGCTCGGAATTAAGTCAGGAGGCGTAGTCATCGACATCGCTGTATTGTGTGCACTTAATTCCGAGCTCTGGTCACTAATAGTGACCTTACATATGGACATAATTAAAAATAAGGGTCCTAAAATGGGACTTGGGTAGGGTTGCCAACTTTTGAACGAATACTTTCGGGACCATTTTTCGATTTGTGAAGAGGGAGGGGGGGGGGTAAAGAGTCGTAAATATAGTTAACATTATCCTTAATTTTTTAATGCAAGTAGTACAATCAGATTAATGTAAAATTGGTGAAGAAGTAAAGAATCAATCGTCACATTTTTTAATAAATCCTATTTTTTTTCGTCGAGCCCCGTATTCTCTTGAAAGTAAACTCACTTGAGGAACTGATGAAAGATAATTTTCACTATCGTATGCTGTTACAATTTCCAATGGTATACATTTTTCTATGAATATACGACTAATATGACAATATGCATAAATGCTTTTTTGTTAGCATACTTGTCAACAACGGTATNTATATATATATATATATATATATATATATATATATATATATATATATATATATTATAATACAAATATTTATATTATCATACAGAGTACACGAAGTACTTAGGTTGTTGGTGGCTAGTGAAGATGGATACTTGTATGTCTATAATTTGGATGCGGCGGAAGGTGGAGATTGTACGCTTCTAAAACAGCATAGGTTTGTAAAATACAGATCTAAAAAATATACAAAGAAAAAATAATAAACACTCTCAGGTGATTTGAAAATTACTTTTTCATTTTGATTCACACTTTGATGCTATATGTGAAGTCGTTTCTATTGGAAACTCAATAATACCGGTAACTATCGAAAACTGAAATGAAATACCGGTATTTTTTGGTTTCACAGTCTCTTTTTGTATCCTACGATTACAATGTCGTTCGTACGACTCGTGGCGCCTCAAGAGATTGCGGGGCCCAGAGCAGTTAGGTCCTGTATAACCATTTGCTTGCAACATAGGGGTGGACACTTTCCCCTGATTAGTCTACAGTGGGAGGTTTATAGAGGATTTTGGGGAAATGGCCACACTGGTCGTGATCTTACGGAAAATATAAGCACCTAGTATTCAAAAGATCAGTAAATTTCTCAAAGTGCTACTTGAATTATGTTGTCTATACCAGGGCTCGGAATTAAGTCAGGAGGCGTAGTCATCGACATCGCTGTATTGTGTGCACTTAATTCCGAGCTCTGGTCACTAATAGTGACCTTACATATGGACATAATTAAAAATAAGGGTCCTAAAATGGGACTTGGGTAGGGTTGCCAACTTTTGAACGAATACTTTCGGGACCATTTTTCGATTTGTGAAGAGGGAGGGGGGGGGGTAAAGAGTCGTAAATATAGTTAACATTATCCTTAATTTTTTAATGCAAGTAGTACAATCAGATTAATGTAAAATTGGTGAAGAAGTAAAGAATCAATCGTCACATTTTTTAATAAATCCTATTTTTTTTCGTCGAGCCCCGTATTCTCTTGAAAGTAAACTCACTTGAGGAACTGATGAAAGATAATTTTCACTATCGTATGCTGTTACAATTTCCAATGGTATACATTTTTCTATGAATATACGACTAATATGACAATATGCATAAATGCTTTTTTGTTAGCATACTTGTCAACAACGGTATATTTCCTCTTATTTTACACAGCTTAATATTTTATCTTAAGATAAAACTTCAGGCTAGGTCGGTTGAATTCTGGCTGAGGGGCAACCCTAGGCCTGGGACAAGTATTCCGTTTGTCTGGTCCAAAATATAAAATCAACGACATTGCAAATATCAGCAGTATCAAAAATTGCAATTAAATAAGAAAAATGTAAAAATTACCAGTTAATATTAGTAAATATATCGGTATTTCGGTTTCTATAAACATTATGAAGGTTACCAT